TCGTAAAATCGGCACGGGTGTGTGATAAAGCATAATAATACACACTTTCGGTTCGTCTATGTTCAATGGGGGAAATGCGGGTCGTGTTAGAAAAAGAGATAAAATACAAGGAAGCACTTTGTAATTTTTGTTAAAGAATGTATTTTTCAGTTTAAACAGTCTTGTTTTCCTGATATCTTACCTTGAATATTGTAGATTTTACATTCATACCAGTTTTGACTAACAGTGATACATAGGGAAATAGACCTGAAATTTAGGGACAACTCCATACGTGAAATATGTTGGGGTTCTTTCAGTGGTATCAAGATTATTTGTATTGATATATGTCTTCTAATGAAGTTATATGTACAGTAAACATACAGGTGGTCTGTATAATCTTTTCAAGCATCTACAAATTTTGTTTATTTATTAATGACTGATAGATTGAAAGCTCATTCGTTGTTTGCTTCCTACAAAGATTAATAACCTCATGTCTGGAAACGCGTAGTGCCCCATACTTATCATACTTATAACAGAATTCGGAATATGTGGCAGCTTTCATCTTTGCCGATGCACTTTTGGTTAACGCATTAACGCATTTACAGGGAAGATTATGTCATATAAATGAAAGCGCGCAAAAAGATTGCTGAAAATAGCCAGGCTATCATGACATACTCAAGAAATGAATGTGCACCCTATTATATTAATGTTTTATCAAGTCGTTGTGTGATCATATACACGTATAGCATATTCACGTAAAAACATTAACATCAACACTTTTTAAGTATGGTGAATAATTCATACAGACCAACGGCTAAGCGTGCTACTGCGCAAAACAAAAGAAGTTAATCTTACATTGCGGTTTTATTTTATTTAGCGCAGTTATTGTCCTTGAATAAAAAAATATGATTTAAAAATACACAACGCATTTTAGGACATTTACGGTATCATAAAATAATACGTAGGCCACTAAAAAAATCGATAAAAACTTTGTTCACAACGCCATGAGTGATATACTCTATGTGATTAGGGTTTTATCTCACTAAAAAAGAAACTATTACAACGATTACGACTTGACAAAGTACATTTAAAATAACGCAAAATATTTGCAAAATAAAAATATCACCATATGTCTTCTGCATGACTGATGCAGTAGGATCTCTTGTTGCCTATTTTGACATTCGTTTGGTAATTTACGTGGATTGTATGCAATCAGTAATTTACTTCCTGTGTACGCTTTACAATATTTTACTTTAAAATACATTTTCCTAATTGTTATGAAAATACGTATGGATCTTAAGGCATGCTACTTACATTATGTTTAATGATTGAATTTCAAGGAAATTTGGTTTTCCCCTTAATTTCTATAAAGCAGAACGAGAGGTCACCGACTTCAAGCGTCTTAAGCACACATCTACTAAACGTAACAATTGTCTCTCAATTATACACTCTTGTTTGAAGTGCCCGTTCTATAAAACAATGATATCCATGTGATGTGATATCTTCCTTGTTCTGTTAACATTAAAGTGTTTGTTCCAGTTTATATACATATCAGACTCGACAATAAAGAGAAATACTTGTAAAACATCTCGACACTTGAAATAAAATAACAGAAAGTTTTTCTTCTGTTGAAAGGACAATATGTCAAGAGTCGTTTGTAAAAGATGAAATACGATTTGTTAGCTCATATTTTCCTTGAAATGTCTTTCTTGGTACTTAAGATACGATTCAGCGAGGTTCCATGTTACTAGTACAAGTTTATCAACCTTTTGATTAATTTTACTCATATCGTTAAGCTGCGGAAACCCGTCATCATTGTGGTGAAGTTTTATTATTTTAGCGCAGTAACGAATTGCTATTTTGTTTACATACAACTGATGTGCGCACTGTTTAAAAACAGCATATTTCTGTTTGGAAAACCGTTTCGTTTAATTTAAAGAATTGGCGTCAATTTCGACGTAACGTTTATACAATTACGTCATTTGACCACTTTGACCAGCTATTATATGAGAATTATCGTCACCCCTTTATGTCAATTTTGATGTAAACAGATAATTAAAGGAAAAGCGTATTCGACTATAACATTAAGATGGTCTCGTCCATAGTAAATTCGGAATGCTTTTGACTTCTAGGTAAAAATTAATATAGTCACCCTTCAGTGAGTCTTAATAAAACTTATTCTTCCTTCTCACGAGACATCCCTGTTTGTCAAAAAATTCGAAATAAGCTTGACAATTGTCATGATTTAGTGATAAAAGTACAACACGAAAATTGAATATTACATAAATATACCATATTGAAATCACATTTCACATACAGTTGGTAAGGGGGCATATGATAAAATATTGTACACGCCTTAGTTATGATCGTTCACATAAACAATCATATAGATATCAACATTGGTAAGTATACATATTGACATACATGAAGTATTTAAGATACCCGGATATAAAGCTCTTAATCACTATAGTGTTTTTTAATCAATACAATTGTTTCAGACACTTAAAATTCCTCATTTTTACGTATTTCTGTCCTTCATAGAAATACACCACTTATAAATAGCTTACAGTGATGTTTAAAGGGAGAGTATCGGCTTATTATACTTGTAATAATTCTTTTATTTTTATAAAATTAGTTCCCTTACTGTCTAAAACTAATTTGATAATTATTGTCAGTAAGTGAAATTTCGTGAACTAGCAGAACCTAAATTTTGCTTTATTAGTATATGTAAAAAATGATAATATATTTTAGAATGAAGAAAAATAGTCCATTTCTAATCAAAAGAATAATACTCTGTACTAATTTTATATCAAATTAGATTTTCCTGCGTGTTTTACCTAGTATTTCAAGACCTAGCATTTCTTATTTGTTTTCCTACTTTAGTTTATACAGTATTTATTTAGTTCGATTTGTGTAGAAAGCAATTAGCTTTAAGAAACACTATCATATACAATCATTGAATAAACCAGTACGAAATAATAAGTGTAAAGTTTCTTCTTTAGTAGAACAACTGCTTGCTCTTGTCTGGATCTTAATCCGCATAGACAAGCGATCCTTGCTTTGCTTTTTTAAAAAATTCATGTTATAGGCCTTAGAGAGAGTCTAATTATACAGTATTGGCTTGACTATTTGGAAGGTAATGTCATTATAAGGGTGTTTTATCGAGTATAATAATACTAATTACCTATGAATACATAAATTTGACAGAAAAGGTACAAAGGCTTGTTATTAAGATGTTTTATTCAAGTAAATCACTGCTTTATTATTATGAATGCATAAAATTGTCCCAAAAAGGCACAAACCCTTCAGTAGTTATGGAGATAACAGCTTACAAGCAAAACTTTATCATGAATTTCTAAGTTGAAAAGGGGGAAGAAAAAATCAGCCTAAATGCAAGATAGAATTATGGATCTTTGTCAGTCACCTACAATTCTGACCCTAAATGCATATATGAAGTTTTAAAATAAATATCTTTAATTGTTATTGAGATATGTAAAACTTGCATGTAAACATTAACCCAAGAGACTAAGTAGAAGAGGCGATATGAATCAGCCTTAATGCAAGATAGAGTTATGGAACTTGGTCAGTGACATACAATTATGACCCTCCAATTATGACCCTAAGTACATGTGTAAAGTTTCAAGTAAATATCTTTGAAGACCTTTAACCTTTAACCAAAATTTCTAAGTTTCAAAGGGGCAAATAATTCTGCAAATATTGCAGACAGAGTTATGCAATTTTGCAAAATGATGTACATTGTTACTATAAAAAGTGTTGTTAATTTTCAATTGAATATCTCAAGCAATAATTGAGATATTTGACTTTACAAAAAATATTTAACCAAAATTTCTAAGTTTCAAAGGGGCATAATTCTGTCAATATTGTAGACAGAGTTATCCAACTTGTCAATCTGATGTACCTTGTTACTATAAATAAGTTATTGTAAGTTTCAATTGAATATCTCTAGCAATAATTGAGATATTTGACTTAACACAAAAAACTTTAACCAAAATTTCTAAGTTAAAAAGGGGCATAATTCTGTCAATATTGTAGGCAGAGTTATCCAACTTGCCAATCTGATGTACCTTATTACTATAAATAAGTATTGTAAGTTTCAATTGAATATCTCAAACAATAATTGAGAAATTTGACTTTACAAAAAAACTTTAACCAAAATTTCTAAGTTAAAAAGGGGCATAATTCTGTCAATATTGTAGGTAGAGTTATCCAACTTGTCAATCTGATGTACCTTGTTACTATAAATAAGTATTGTAAGTTTCAATTGAATATCTCAAGCAATAATTGAGATATTTGACTTTACAAAAAACTTTAACCAACGCAGACGCCGACGCGGACGCGGACGCGGACGCCGGAGCGACTACAATAGCTCTCATATTCTTCGAATAGTCGAGCTAAAAAATGATAAAACAGTTAAAATATATGAAACTTGTTAGTTACAGGGTTATAACACTGGCTGGGGCGACATCTTGGGATGTTTCTGCAAAAAAGTTGTTTCAGCCTAAAGGTCTTGACATTGTTTTAGCAGAAACATCCCTAGATGTCGCCCCAGCCAGTGTAATATCGTTGTTACTAACTTGACTATTACGCAACACTTAGTCTAACAAATCTTCCACCATAACACCAAGTGTATATAACCATTCTCCAACAGGTGTGGAATCTCGGTTCCGTGGTACCACACTGAACTAGTAATCCCCGAGCCGAGGGTTCGATCACACCAAATACCATAAAAATACAAATCGTCTTTTGGATGAGCCCTTATAAAAGCGAGTTATATCAGTGCTCAACGCTAATGATGTTAAACAATCAGATATGGAATAGGGAAACTGATGTATCATAAATCTTCAGGGTCTTCTCCGCCGATACGAGGAACCAAAGTGCAACAGTTAACCAACCGATATAAAACGGCAATACATGTAGTGTAATTTCTAGTGACTTTAAATGGACACTCAGGCAAATTAATGACAAAAATATCAAAATGATATTATGTTCTCAAATCACACTAAAATGACATTTGTTAAGGTCGTCCTATCATGAATACTGCATAGATTCTATATATAATGGTTTTGAAGCCTAAATTTTTGTTTTGTTTTGTTTTGGGTTTTACGTCACATCGACACAGTATAGGTCATATAGCGACGTTCCAGCTTTACTGGTGGAGGAAGACCTCAGGTGCCCTTCCGTGCATTATTTCAGGCACGAACGGGCACCTGAGTAGAACCACCGACGTTCCGTAAGCTAGCTGGATAGCTTCCTCACATGAAAGAATCCAAAGTCCCTGTCGGGATTCGAACCCACAGCGGTGAGGGGCAAGTGGTTTGAAGTCAACGACCTTAACCACTCGGCCACGGACGCCCCAAGCCTAAATATATCTAGTATATGTTGAACGAAATTTAGACGCCGACAGAATTTCTAAACGAACAAACCCTGGATGTTACAATATCAGATATTTAATGTTTGAAACAAGTCAAAGTGATCCATTTGACACGTTTTTCATCGTTTCCAGAGTTCACTGACAACTACTGTGAAATTAATTTTAACGCTCTAACTTGACCTACGTGGAAACAACAATTTTTAAAACTCTTTATTTGGAGAAAAGTTTTGTTCCTATGACTGCCCAGTGTATTCATTGATACGCCATTTACCGAATATCTGCCCCTAAAATTGGACTTTTTGCCAAAATCAAGGGCAGATAACTCACAATGAAGGTACACAATACTTATTTTTTGCTTATTTTATACAGTTTTCTTCTGTTTGAGTCCATGTGACAAATGTCTATACAGAATAAAGAATGGATTGCTATTTTTCCCTTCTTTCATAAATCTGTACCATTTTTGGTTATTAATTTTTTATTTACAGACAAATTAAATCCCTTAATTCGAACTGAAACATTTTAACATAAATAAGAAATGCAATTAACTGTAATTTTGTATTGTGATCAACATTAGAAAGAAAAAAACATAATCAAGAAGTAAAAAAAAGATGATGTAGACATATTTATAATTCATCTACCCTTGAAATGACCTTATGTTAGTAAAAAAAGTCTGATTCAAGGGCAGATAACTCAGAAGTGAGAGCGGTGACCCCCAAATCTTTTTCGCTTAAAATGTTTCTATTATCATAGTCTAACAATATGCCAAGTTTTCCCAAAAATTTCCTTAATATAATTGTACAGTGAAATACAGATATCATCATTCATAAAATGAAATACAATAGTCAATATATATCATCAATATCATCATTTATTATATGTTATAATTTTAAATGGAATACTGAGAAATATTGATGAAATAAAATGCATTTTTCCCCATATTTTCATTGTAAAAATTCATTTTTCACTGCAGTGAAAAATAATTACTGTATTTTTTACTGGTGTCTTGGTGGACTATTTTCTTCAAATTCAGCCAATACACACACATTTAAAGGGTAGTCTATGGATTATAATGTCAAAATTAGAAAATGTATAAAAAATAAAAAGAAAACTTAAGTGTTTACTATATATACATATATTTATCATATACTAATAAATGAAATATTGAGAAATATTGATGAAATAAAATGTGTATTTTCATTTTTCGTATTTTCACTGTTCAAAACTATTTTTCACTGCAGTGAAACATTTTTTCCGTATTTTCACTGGTGTATTAAAAAGTAACAAAGGGCGAAAACTTTTAAATGAGTCAAGAAAGAGTTTGTGTGCACTGCGCTTTCTCTCAATATACTTGACCATTGTATGAAATAGTATTGAATTCAAACTAGTACTTTTCTAGTTATGCTCTGGACAAAAAAGCAATGGAAAAGTAACAAAGGGCAATAACTCTGTAATTAGTGAAGATGGAGTTATGGTTCTTGTGCACTGCACTTCCTCTTAATGTGCTTAACCATTGTATGAAGTTATATTGAATTCCAACCATTAGTCTTCATGTTATGCTCCGGACAATGAAAATGCGACGGACTGGGTGTCTCCTTATTTCCTTTTTTGAAAAAAATTGGCATACACCCATTAGAGTATGTTTCATGCTAAATATCTTAGCCCTAGCTATTTGGGGTTTTTAAAAGAAGTTTTCACTATATTCATAAAGGGAATAACAATGACCCCTGTGGGCGGGGCCAATTTTCACCCCAGGGCTTTTATTTGAAAAAACTTGGTAGAAACCCATTAGAAGAAGTTTAATGCTTTATATCAAAGCTCTAGCTATTTGGTTTATTTTTAAAGATTTTTTCAGTTTTTACTATATACATATAAGGAAAACCTATGACCCTCGGGGCGTGGCCAATTTTGACCCAAGGGCTTTAATTTGAACAGTTTTGGTAGAGGACCTATAGATGATATTATATATCAAATATCTAAGCTCTAAGCCTTGTACCTTCAAACAAGAAGATTTTTTAAGTTTTTACTATATCGAATAAGGAAAACCTATGATCCCTGGGGCGGAGATAATTTTGACCCCAGGGCTATAATTTGAACAACTTTGGTAGAGGACCTATAGGTGATAGCATATAGCAAATATCAAAGCATAAGGCCTTGACTTTCAAACAAGAGGAGGTTTTAAGTTTGCATTTTTTAAACTCCTTTTATGGCCCCGTGACCTACATATGCAATATACTGGAACCATTTGAACAACTTTGTCAGGGGACCACCCTAGGATCATTCCTGCAAACTTTGGTTACTGTGCAGTCTTTGTGACGACCCACGACAACGGATGGTGGGGGGATCACAATAGCTCACCATGAACACGTTCAGGTGAGCTAAAAAGTAATGATCAAAGAACAAGTTTGTGGATGATCTTGGCAATGCCAACATGACTGTAACAATACCTTTATTTTTAAAAAAGAAAAAGTGGAGCTTAAATGGGGCATAACTGCAAAAAATAATTTATTGCAGCCAAAATTGAACTAAATCTGTCTTTTGATACTAACATGGCAAATATCAACACACTTCATTTCCTTCATAAGTTGTCCTGCAGAAATCAATTGAACACCATAACTTATAACATGCTTTTTAGTAAAAAATGACATCACTTTTAGATTATTTCACAATAAAGTATAATTTCAAAAGTAGCCAGACTTTATTTGAATGAGGATGAAAAGCCTATATTATAAACAAACAGAAATTTTGTGGGAAATACATTTTATTTATTTCTCAGAAAAAATGTGATAAATAAAGAGTAGATAATTAATATTTGCAAATCATAATGGAAATTAAACAAATTCAGGAAATATGACAGAATCGCTTTCAAATATGAACATTGAAAATTAATGATTCTACACAGAAAAAAAAATCTGCTCTCTTTGGCTTGTATGATGGGCTATAGACCTCGGACATAATAAGGCGTCATATCTGAACTACTTTCAGTCACAGTAAAATAGCAGCCGCAATTTACCAATATTGTGGCAAAGTTATACATTGTATATGTTTTTCAATGCCATTCATGAAAATATTAAATCTGGTGTTCACTCTATGAAATATATTGGGATCTTGCATGCAAAAGAAACAAATACCAATCATATGATATGTTTCAAATTTCTTCATGCTTACATAAAATATATTTATGTAAATTAGTTCATTAACAAGCAAAATTGTAATTTCATTGTTCTGACGAACAATGAATCTGGAGTGTTTTTGTTAAACAGCCATACTCCAAGACTGACAAGTGTTCTGTGGCATTATATTATCCAAAATTAACAATATTGGGAAATAATGGAAAACAAAATTATTAACAAATACATGTATAAAATAAAACCAATGTATATTAATTTAGTTGAAACTGCGGAATTTAGCTATGTCAACTTCTGAAGGGATTCCAGTTCAATTAATCTTGTCTTTCATAACTGAAGCTACAAATATCTGAAAATAAAATATATTTGTCATGTTGCAAGTAATTGTTTTTATCACATAAACCGAGGCGCAGGAGTGTAATAAAGCCATTTAATAAAAACGATATTACACTAATGTAATAACACTTTGACGTGACGTCATTTGCGCTATATATAAACATAGCGTTAAAAGCGCGCTAATGTTAGCGTTACACTATAGGCGCATCATTGAAAAATTACTCATTTTAACAGTTTACTGTTCTTTTTTTATATATGTGATAAATAGAATATTATATTCGTGTAGATTCAATACTAGAGACAGAGGCTCGCATAATATGATTTTATTCAACTCGTTCAATAAATTTAGTATTAAACTACACTCATTCAATATCCTCTATATCTGGCACTGAATATATTCAACACCATAAAGACAATGTGATCCATACTTTACAATTTACCAGTAAAATCGAAGACATATTTCTTCTATAATTTTTTTTATCATATCTTTGCATGAATTATCATAGTAAGCTTACAACCACTATGTAAAATGCTAGTTACTAGTCGCAAGAAAAATCAAAAGCAATGGATGGTGTGATATTCAGACTTTTTAATTAACTTTACAAATGCTGCTGAAAAACAAACAAAAATATTGTCAATTACTTTCAATTAAATGATAGGACAAATATTGGTTTCCATTAATGCTGCTGTACAAGAATAGAACATCACTTCTAACTGCAAGAAGAACCATAGTGTATTCTGGTGTCAGGAAAATAATTATTATCGCTTATTTTTGTATCTCATGCTTTCTTTAGATGGATAAAAGTAAAAATTTAAAGTGGACTACTATACCTCAATTGGTATTCTGTATGCTGAAGTTTCCTTTTGAATACAGAAATAACTCCTTCACATAGTAAGCTCAACTTTAATTAAGTTGTTCCAGAAATAATACATTGTTCTACTGGGTACTTCAGACAGCTTCATTTAAACAGAGTGGGCAGCTTCTTACTGCAAAGTGGGAGCAAGGTTTAGTAAAACAATTAAACAGCATAATTTGTTCAAATACAAGAAACTAGAAGCAGGACATAATCTGTTATTGTTTTTCAGAAAAATAATTGAAAATTTCACTTTTGAATGGATGTTCACTATGAGCATACATTTCAATTTTTTAATTTTCTAGTGTAATATGTTTACAATAATATATGTTTTTTGTATAATTACCAGTCCTATGATGAATTAATGTAATTCTGGAAAGGAGAATTTTAATTTTAAATACTTTGTCATGATTTTGAATTAGTAAAGGTCTACAATGATATCAGTCAAACATTAGAAAGTAAAACCCTGATGTACAACAACATCAGTGCAAGTTGAAAATTTGGAAAAACCCTTTAACTGTAATTCACAAAATCCTCGGCTTCAGGCATATGCCCCATGCAACAAGTGATTACAGTAAACATGTTTATAAAGTTTGATGACTCTAATTAATTACTAAGGGATCAGTTATTACCAAAATATGGCATACCTTAGAACCTTATAATAAGGAAAGACCTTTACTGTACATGCAATCAACAACAGACCTTAATTTATTATTGAAAAAATGACAAACCTCTATGATTTTTTTTCTTCTCTGCAGCAGAAACCTCTTCCTTACAGATAATTGCAAAGAATCTATAAATAGGCTCATCATCATCATCATGAAGACTTCATGGCTGAAACTTTATCACTTTTTGCTGTTATAACAAACTGCCGGTCTGAGCTGTCTTGTCCTGTTTACATGTATATAACTTGTCTGAACCTACTGTACCTTCACTGTTATCAAACAGTAACATGACAGAAGTCATCTAAAAAAAAAAGCAAATCAAAATTTAATGTCTTATATTAAAGATCATGCACAAGTAATCAGTATTAAACAAGCAAGTTATATCATTTAACCACAATTTTTTCTGCAAATTTGATATGAGCCGCGTCATGACAAAACCAACATAATAGGTTTGCGACCAGCATGGATCCAGACCAGCCTGCGCATCCGCGCAGTCTGATCAGGATCCATGCTGTTCGCTTACCAACTCTATTACAATTAGAGAAACTGATAGCGAACATCATGGGTCCTTATCAGACTGCGCGGATGCGCAGGCTGGTCTGGATCCGTGCTGGTCGCAAACGCACTATGTTGGTTTTGTCGTGACGCGGCTCATATGTGTGTTACACCATGCATTATTTAAGAAATAATATATCCCAAAATGTGATTTTATTGATCAATAACATCACTGCAAATAATTATATCATTTCTAACTTGATATCATTTCTATCCTCATGTTAGAATGGAAAAAGGTATCAATTTTCATTTTCACCTGTTTGTGTTCCTTCCCTGTATACTATATGCATATGCGTTAAGAAAATGCAAGCTTCTGACTCATCTAGAAATCTAGATTTCCCTGAAGTATTTTACACAATTAACAACACTTACTGCATAATGAAATGCAAGTCTACATTTTCAAAATGTGTTATTCTAAAAGTATTTGCGGAAATGGTAAATCATAGTAGTTTGGATTAGTCTAGAGACCAACCTTTCATCTCACTTTGAATTAAAATATATCTTGATTTGACTGCTTTGTGGTAAAACATTTCAAAGTACATTGTATGTCAATCAGATGTTTGTTATAATTCACACAGGCAAATGACCTTTGTGGTTATATTACAAAGCATCTGATCTCCATACATTGCTATATTATACCACAATGCACTCAAAATGAAAAACAAGATTGCATTTGAGAAAATGCTATGCCACCGCATTAATACAACACTTAATAGAAGTGTAGGAACAAATACTGTTGAAGAACGGGTCTTTTATTAACCTCGTATATTATTGTCTGGATGAGCCGGTACCAATGCAAAACCAACGAATTACTATAAACTGCTAGCATTCCCTTGCAGAAAGTTAAGCAGACGACAGCCTAAATTTCATGACTACATCAAAGGAAAACACAGTAAGACACTTTGTCAAAATCTAGGTCAGCTGAAATCAAAGTTCAATTTACATCTTAATCTGTGCACATGGTTCAAATTTCATAGCTGTACATCAAAGGACAAGAAAGTAGGTCACATAATCAAAATCTAGGTCACTTGATATAAAAGTTCAATTTTACAACTAAAACTGTGCACATGGTCAAAATTTCATTGCTGTACATCAAAGGACAAGAAAGTAGGTCACTGTCCCCTTGGGCAAGGCAAAATTTTGACCCAATGGTTTAATTCAAAACAATCTTGATACAGGTCCACCAAACAACATTTCATGTCAAATATCTAAGCTGTAGCTTTCTCCCATTCAGAAAACATTTGTTTTATTTTCTGTTTTTATTGTGTGTACTTAATGAAAATCACTGCCCCCAGGCAGGGCCGATTTTGACACCAGGGGAAAAATTTGAACAACTTTGGTAGAGGACCTACAGATGATATTATATAGCAAACATCAAAGCTCTATTCCTTGTACCTTCAGACAAAAATAGTTTTTATTTTTTTTTACTATATGTACAAAATGAAAATTAATGAACCTGGGGCGGACCCAATATTGACCCCAGGGCTATAATTTGAACAATCTTAGTAGAGGTTCACTTCCCAAAGTCTCATGCCATAAATTTAACCTCTAGCCTTTGTCAATTCAGAGAAGAAGATTTTTCAAGTTTTTACTTTATACATATAAGGAAAACTATCGCCTCTAGGGCAGGGCAATTTTTTCACTAGGGGCATAATTAAAACAACTTTAGTAGAGGACCCATAGATGATATTATATACCAAATATTAAAGCTCTAAGCCTTGTACCTTCAGACAAGAAGATTTTTTTATTTTTTTACTATATGTACATAGTGAAAATCAATGACCCCTGGGGGTGGGGCCAATTTTGACACCAGGACTATAATTTGTACAATCTTGCTAGAGGTTCACTTACACAATGTTTCATGCAAAATATCTTAACTCTAGCTTTTGTAAATTTAGAGAAGATGATTTTTTAAGTTTTTACTGTACACATATAAGGAAAACCTATGCCCCCCGGGGTGGGGCTAATTTTGACACTAGAGGCAAAATTTGAACAACTTTGGTAGAGTACCTATAGATGATATCATTTAACAAATATTAAAGCTCTAAGCCTTGTACCTTCAGACAATAAGATTTTTTTGATTTTTTACTACATGTATATATTGGAAATCAATGACCCCATGGCAGGGGCAATTTTGACCCCAGGGCTATAATTTGAACAATCTTGCTAGAGGTTCACTACACAATGTTTCATGCAAAATATCTAACCTCTAGCATTTGTCAATTGCTAGAAGAAATTTTTTTAAAGTTTTTACTGTAAGTTTTTACAATATACATATAAAGAAAACCAATGACCCCAGGGGCGGGCCGATTTTGACCCCAAGGCTATAATTTGAACAATCTTGCTAGAGGTTCACTACACAATGCCTTATGCAAAATATCTAAGCTCTAGGCCTTTTGGGTCTTTACAAGAAGGTATTTTAAGTTTTTACTATATGTACATAAAGTGAAATTAAATGACCCCCCGGGGTGGGGCCGATTTTGACCCCAGGGCTATAATTCGAACAATCTTGGTAAGGGTCTACAAGACAATGCCTTATGCAAAATATCTAAGCTCTTGGCCTTTTGGGTCTTTACAAGAAGGTATTTTAAGTTTTTACTATATGTACATAAAGTGAAAATCAATGACCACCGGGGCGGGGCCCATTTTGACCCCAGGGCTATAATTTGAACAATCTTGGTAGAGGTCTACCAGACAATGCCTTATGCAAAATATCTAAGCTCTAGCCCTTCTGGGTCTTTACAAGAAGATTTTTTAAATTTATTCTTATAATTCCTTTTGGTTGCCATGGCAACCAGATTTCTGCATGGAATGAAATTCTTTGAACAATTTTAGAAGCCCTTCACCCAAGGATCAATCCTGCCAAGTTTGGTTGAAATTGGACAAGTGGTTTTTCACAAGAAGATTTTTTAAGTTCACTATATAATCTATATAACACACACACACACAAACAAACACGCACACACACACACACACACACAGGTGAATCGCTATATGCCACCGCATCGCAGATGCTGCGGTGGCATAATTAATTTCAAGATAACACATGATTTTACTGTTGAAATGCTTTGTAATTTTTCATTCAGGCCAAATTGCCTTGTAATTGAAACAAAGCACATCTGAACTTAAATAATGCATAGTTCTTGATCAATGCACTTAAAATTATTATCCTAAACATAAATGCTGCACGAACGATACAAAGCCCACCAAAGACTCACTAAATAATGCTTTCTTTATCCTTGCATGAGATAAATTCTATACTGAAGTGAAAATTACATACATGTAAAGTACATTACTATTTCATAATTCTAGAAGAATTTTACTCAATTATGTTTTTATGTTGTTTTTTGTTTTGTTTTGTTATGCCCTAAGAATAAGTCAAACTTAATTTATGAGTGAAGCTGCGTTCATCTTATTTGAAGATAATTTACCTTTTCAGTAGCTGGGTTGTAGAAGAAATTTGACCACTTCGGATCAGTTAGCATAAGTATAAACTCAAACAATCTTTTAAGGCAAAGTCCCTTAAAACTTGGAAACTTTGTTCCCATAAAATACATGAGTCATAGGTCTACTGATAATCATGATCCTTTTATTTACTATACTAGTATTGTATGTGTTAAACTGCAGATGGCAGCCAGTTTGAAGAACCACTTTATTCAGCAAAATATGTACATGTATTTCATGAAAACTACAACATTATGATACATGTTATCCAGCAATACTGAATTTGCCGAATGGACAATAATTCTTGAACCTGTATGCTTGCATGTATAATTATCAAGCGTTCTGTTTTCATACCTATATGAAACCAAATATAATGTATTTCTTAACAAATGGAACAAACAAAACAAGAGGGCCATGATGGCCCTGAGGTCGCTCACCTGTATATAGCCCCCCCCCCCCCAATTTTTACCCAAGGGCTTTTATTTGAACAGACTTGGTAGACACCCATAAGAAGATGTTTCATGCTAAACATCTAAGTTCTAGCTCATTGGGTTTTTTAAAAGAAGATTTTTTAAGTTTTTACTATACACATATAGTTAAAAACAATGACACCCCTGGGGCAGGGCCAGTTTTGACCCCCGGGCTTTTATTTGAACAAACTTTGTAGATATTTACTTAAAGATGTTTCATGTATAATATCTAAACTCAAGCTATTTGGGTTTTTTCAAAGAAGATTTTTAAGTTTTTGCTATACACATATAAGGAAAATCAATGACCCCCGGGGCGGGCCAGTTTTGACCCCAGGGCTTTTATTTGAACATACTTGGTAGACACCCATTAGAACATGTTTCATGCTAAATATCTTAGCTCTAGCTCTTTGAGTTCTTTAAAAGAAGATTTTTTAAGTTTTTACTATATGCATATAGGGAAAATCAATGACCCCCTGGGGCTGGGCCAATTTTGACCCCAGGGCTTTTATTTGAACAAACTTGGTAGACACTCATTAGAAGATGTTTCATGCTAAATATCTTAGCTCTAGCTCTTTGGGTTCTTTAAAAGAAGATTTTTTAAGTTTTTACTATATGCATATAGGGAAAATCTATGACCCCCTGGGACGGGGCCAATTTTGACCCCAGGGCTTTTATTTGAACAAACTTGGTAGACATTCACTAGAAGATGTTTCATGCCAAATATCTAAGCTCTAGCTCTTACGGTTCTTTAAAAGAAGATTTTTTATGTTTTTACTATATGCATATAGGGAAAATCAATGACCCCCGGGGCGGGGCCAATTTTGACCCCAGGGCTTTTATTTGAACAAACTTGGTAGACACTCACTAGAAGATATTTCATGTCAAATATCTTAGCTCTAGCTCTTTGGGTTCTTAAAAGAAGATATTTTAAGTTTTTACTATATGCATATAGGGAAAATCTATGACCCCCTGGGGCAGGGCCAATTTTGACCTCAGGGCTTTTATTTGAACAAACTTGGTAGACACTCATAAGAAGATGTTTCATGCTAAATATCTTAGCTCTAGCTCTTACGGTTCTTTAAAAGAAGATTTTTTAAGTTTTTACTATATGCATATAGGGAAAATCAATGACCCCCTGGGGCGGGGCCAATTTTGACCCCAGGGCTTTTATTTGAACAAACTTGGTAGACACCTATTAGAACATGTTTGATGCTCAATATCTTATCCATAGCTCTTTGAGTTCTTTAAAAGAAGATTTTAAGTTTTTACTATATATGAATATAGGGAAAATCAATGACCCCCTGGGGCGGAGCCAATTTTGACCCCAGGGCTTTTATTTGAACATACTTGGTAGACACCCATTTAAACATGTTTCATGCTAAATATCTTAGCTTTAGCTCTTTGGGTTCTTTAAAAGAAGATTTTTTAAGTTTTTACTATATGCATATAGGGAAAATTAATGACCCCCCGGGGCGGGGCCAATTTTGCCCCCTGGGCTTTTATTTGAACAAACTTGGTAGACACTCACTAGAAGATGTTTCATGCCAAATATCTAAGCTCTAGGTCTTATGGTTATTTAAAAGAAGATATTTAAAGTTCTTTTCTTTAGGTTGCCATGGCAACCAGTGTTCTTCTTTGAGTGACCCCCAAAGTCTGCACATCCATACACTTACAAACTCAATTACATGATTTCAGTCCGCCATATTCCCTACCCACGAATGACAACTCATTTTTCCCTCTCTAAAATTCCACCAAATTATTCTTTTTTTAAATGACCTCAAAAAGGAACCTTTTCTAAAGACTTTGTATTTATTAATTCGATTTTTTTGTCAAGAAACTGATTTTTTTCATTACCCTTTATTGTAATGGAAAACAACTATAACAAGATATGTTTGTAAAACATGTATGCCCCCTATCAGCAGCCAATTATTCATGTGATAAGGTAATTATGCATGACTTCTGACCCAGTGATCAAACAATTAATAAGGGTTATCAAGTATCTACTGGTCATGACCTTGACCTTTGACCCCTTGACCCAAAACTCAATAGGGGTCATCTGCTGGTCAAGAACAATCATCATACAAAGTTTGAAGTTCCAAGGCCTAAGCGTTTTTAGTTAATTGATCAGAAACCGTTTTTACTTACAAGGTCAATGTGACCTTGACCTTTAACCCCTTGACCCGGAAATCAATAGGGGTCATTTGCTGGTCATGACTAATCACCATGCCAAGTTTGAAGTTACTAGGCCTAAGGGTTCTTAAGTTATTGATCGGAAAGCATTTTTACCTACAAGGTCAATGTGACCTTGCCCTTTGACCCCTTAACCTCAAAATCAAAAAGGGTCATCTGCTGGTCATGACCAATCACCATACCAAGTTGAAAGTTCCTAGGCCTAAGGGTTCTTTAGTTATTGATCGGAAACTGTTTTACCTAAAAGTTCAATGTGACCTTGACCTTTGACCCCTTGACCCCAAAATCAATAGGGGTCATCTACTGATCATGACCAATCACCATACCAAGTTTGAAGTTCCTAGGCCTAAGGGTTCTTTAGTTATTGATCGGAAACTGTTTTTACCTAAGAGGTCAATTTGACCTTAACCTTTGACCCCTTGACCCCAAAATCAATAGGGGTCATCTACTGATCATGACCAATCACCATATCAAGTTTAAAGTCCCTAGGCCTAAGGGTTCTTTTGTTATTGATCAGAAACTGTTTTTACCTACAAGGTCAATGTGACCTTGACCTTTGACCACTTAACCCCAAAATTAATAGGGGTCATCTGCTGGTCATAACCAATCACCATACCAAGTTTGAAGTTCCTAGGCCTAAGGGTTCTTTTGTTATTGATCGGAAACCGTTTTTACCCAAGAGGTCAATGTGACCTTGACCTTTGACCCCTTGATCCCAATATCAATAGGGGTCATCTACTGATTATGACCAATCACCATACCAAGTTTGAAGTTCCTAGGCCTTAAGGTTCTTTACTTATTGATCGGAAACCGTTTTAGCTTACAAAGTCAATGTGACCTTGACCTTTGACCCCTTGACCCCAAAATCAATAAGGGTCATCTACTGGATATGACAAATCACCATACCAAGTTTGAAGTTCCTAGGCCTTAAGGTTCTTTAGTTATTGATCGGAAACCGTTTTTGCTTACAAGGTCAATGTGACATTGACCCCTTGACCCCAAAATCATCTTCTTGTCATGACCAATCACCATACCAAGTTTGAAGTTCCTAGGCCTAAGGGTTCTTTAAGTATCACTCGGAAACCATTTGGTCTACGGACAGACGGACCGACAAGCGCAAAGCAATATACCCTCTTTTCTTTGAAAGGGGGCATAATTATGTAGTTTATGTGTGTTGTTTTGATTTGTTTGACTGATATAATTTAGTTTAGTTTAACAGCAGCCAGAGACATGACAATACGTAGCAACCACGTTGAAAACTGAAAGAGATAATGGCAAAACTCTATCGAAATACTGCATATACATTATAGTGAAAATTTGTAAGTGACATACAGTCCGACCACTATCATAAATGTTGGTAGTTAAATTTGATATTGACACTAGGACAAATCCAACATACAAAAATTCTTCAGGTTAAGGTACTAAGATAGATAAAAAAAAATATTGTTCATACCTTCTTCTGGTAATGGGTAATCAAACAGTCCTCCATGGAGCATTCTACAGTAACATCTGGGCTGTTTGAAAGTCAAGAATTGTCTGTGAAAGAAAAATATTAAAGCGTTATTAAAAATAAATGCTAGTTATTAAATAATCTAAATCTGTGCATAAATCTCTTATTATTTGTCTCAACATTAAGCAATTGTTTATACCATTTAAATTCCATTTGAAACTTAAGTGATACCAAAACTTTTGATTCCAATAATTATGTAAATATCTTAGGATAATTCTTAAAATTGGGTAAAAGGTCATCCACCACGAATCAACAGAGTGAAACATTAAACAAGAGGGCCATGATGGCCCTAAATCGCTCACCTGACCCATCAAGCTTATCCAACAATTACCTAGACAAGCATTCTGACCAAGTCTCATGA